TTACAGTTTCAAAACTGCCATATTTTGCAAGAAAATAAATATTTCTCAGTTCTCAGTTACACGTTCCTTCAATGCAATTTCATTAATAAGACTTGAAAATTCCTTCGGGTGCTGATATTTTCATTTTGGATAAAATCCAATAAAACAAAAAAAGTTGGGAAAGTGTTGCCTAGTTTAGCCTCCTACCATTTTTTACTTATCTTTCGTATTACAACAGCTGTTGTGAAATGAACTGAAGTAATTCGGTCCGTTTTGGTCGAAAATAAAGTTAAAGAGATTCGAGAGTTGGCGCGAGGCCATTCATAGAGATATGTTCCAGGGAAACTAAATATTGCCGACTTGTTATCGCGCAGATGTTTTTTGAAGCAAATGCTTCAGTCTAGATGGTGGGAAGGCCCCTTGTGGTTGTAAGAAAGCCCTGAAAACTGGCCCACTGGTGAGATTATTTGTTTGTATGAAGAAGTAGAATTGGAGAGGAAAAAGATAAAAGTACAGTCAAAAGTCGTTAATCCGGACTCGTCGGGACTTCGGCGATTCCGGATTATCGATTTTTCCGGATTATAGATCATCAGTTTAAATCTGGTAAGATGGCATGCAGAAATTACAAAATTAAAAATATGAAACTGTAATTTATGAAATAAAGAACAATTATGATCTAAAGGGTATCAAAATTTACAAAAAAAAGAAAAAGCTTAATATTTATTTGTTTACTTTATTAAACATTTCCTTCAATGTAAGTTGCTTCGTTTCATGTGATAATACTTTCTCTTTAATTCTATTAAACAGACATAATTTCTTGCTTAGTTACAAAGTTCCGCTGTTCAAGTCCTATAATTGCTGTGTTGAGAATACCGACTAATTTGTCAATCGAAATGTTTTCGTTTTCAATAACCTCTGGGTCACTTTCTTCACTATTGGAAGCGAATTATAATGACGAGGAACTTGATTTAAATCATATCAAAGACGGAGTACATCCAGATGAAATACAACACTTAGTACGGAATTATAAACCAAATAAAATAAAAACATCTGCCCTAAAGATAAGGATAGTGCTGACAGATCAACTTCCAATCCGCGGCATGAAATTGATAAACAGATTTCGGATTTCAAAACATACTTTCGCTTTGTAGATACAAATTACATATTAGTAAATATATATCGGAAATTTTATTTGACATAATCGAAAGTTCAAGCTTACTTTTATAAAATTGCTCTAATAGTCTGCAAAAAATAATAAGCCGGATCCAATTCGAAGATTAAGGAACAACGCAATCTGCAACATTAACTGAATTAGATAACTTTAGCTTAGCGTATAACTCCGTTACACATTAAACGTGCATGCGCACAAACATATTCGCAGCCGTAAGGGTCTTACGCGGTCTCGTAAACGCCTGTGCGCATGCGTGAACACGACGCATGCGCAGAAAGTTTGTAGCTTTGAGGTCCGGATTATAGATCATTCCGGATTATGGGTGTCCGAATTAACGACTTTCGACTGTAGTGAATATTGGTCTATCAAAAGACACACTCCTTGGCATCGAATCAGTGTATCCAATTATGATAAAATGATTAGAATATTTGCATGGATATTTATATTTGTAAATAATTGTAAAGATGGTTCTGAAATGAATAGAAACATTGAACTTTCACAGTATGAAATTGAAAATTCTGAGAAAGTTTTAATTCATTTGGTTTAAAATTAATATCTGAGTGATAAGAAATCTTATAATTTTATTGAAACACTCATTGATGATGATGGCATTCTGAGAGTTAAAACGAGAAAACTAAATAGAGATGACCCTTTTCAATACTAATAAAACTAAATAGACATGAATCTTTTCTGTATTCAATACTGTTGCCAGAAAAATGTGATTTCAGCTAGTTATTAATCAGAAATGTACATAATAAGAACTGTCTTATTGGTCTTCAGATTATGCAATGTATATTACGAGAAGGATTTCGGTTAGTCAGAGCTAGAAAGGCCATTAAAAATGTCCTCTTTAACTGTATCGTTTGTAAAAGATTTAAAACTAAAGCTATGTCAAGCGAACCAACACCTCTGCCACCAGACCGAGTTACGGATTGAGCGCCGTTAGAAATCATAGGGATTGATTTGGCTGGACCCCTGTTTTAGAAAAATCGAGGAAAGGTGTGGATTGTGCTGTTCACGTGCGCTGTATACTGTGCCATTCACCTTGAACTTCTAAATTCTTTTTCTACTGATGCTTCTTCTGGCGCTTCGACAATTTGTTGATAGGCGCGAAAGCCCTAGAATAATCTATAGTGATAACGGGACAAATTTTCGGAGTGCATCTAATGATTTATCAAAACTAAATTGAGCTAAAGTGTTAAAGGAAATGAGAACTGAAAAAATACTCTGGAAATTTATTCCACCTACTGCAGCTTGGTGGGAGAGGTTGGTTCGTACAGTAAAAGAATTGCTGAAACATACTTTAGGTAAATCAGTGTTATCATATGAAGAACTTCATACTATTATTTGTGATTGTGAAACTATAATTAATTGTAGACCCTTAATGTATGTTTCTGAAGATCTGCAGGAATTTGTCCCTCTGACACCCGCCATGTTTCTTATCGAGAAGAGAAATTCCAATGTTTAAGATTTTGATAAATTAAATTCGTCAAGTCTTAATAAGAGATTAAAGTATAGAACTAAATTGTTAAATGATCTGCGACAACGCTTTAGAAAAGAACACCTTAGTCAACTGGTTCAAAAGCATAATGAAAAGTGATCTCGGGAACCTGTAGTTGGAGAAATAGTACTGATGGGGCACGACAACAAAAAACGTTTATTTTGGCCCTTAGCCAGAATTACTGAATTGATCCCTGGACGTGATGGAAAAATTCGCACGGTTAAGCTTAAGACCCGGCATGGAACAGTTGTATGACCAATACAACATATTTTTCCTCTTGAGATACAGGCCAATGACAGAAACATAATTCCTGATAAGAAACTGGATGAAGAGGAATCTAATTCTTGTGCTGAATGTACGTTAAAAAGGAGAATCGCACCTGATAAAATGGTAATGCAACAATATTCCTCCTCTGGATGATTTGTAGAAGCTCCGAAAAGACTTGATCTTTTAAATAATGTTTGTTATGAGCTTGAGACTCAACCTGAGTCTCAAGGGGGGATGTTGTGAAATGAAGTGAAGTAATAACTGGTGCAAAGTGCTGCTGTTCATGACGTCAGCATGCGTGCTGAATATTTTGAATTTTTTCCTGTAGACAGAACTGAAAACTGATCTCAAAAGAAAAAGGACTGTTATGATGAAAATAAAGAAGTGTTGGCTTATTAAGATTTTTTTGTCTTTATTCATAATGCACCCAACCTTGGGTAGAGGCAGCCCGCAAATGAACGAACTGTTTTGAATATATTTTATTTATATATTTTCTGTGTTCTCCATAACAACAGCATAATGTCGAAGTGACACACACAAAAACACTATTTGTTTCTTAATAAACTTTTGCAACAAGCTTATTAACAATTTATACCACTAGTATAGTTAACAAATGATGGTTTGTAAGGGATATATTATGTATCTGTGCTACGAACTTCTCTTCCCAATGTATACTACCACTTGCATTAAAAATAAAATGAAATATAATGATAAAATTCTGTAACAACTGGTCACTGACTATATCAGTGTTTCCCAATTAATTTACCTACGGACGTTTTATATTTTGTACAACATAACAGAACTCCTTAAGTGCTTTTAATATAGCATACAGAAGTGAATTCATTTTAGCAAAGAAATTTTTGAGGTTCTGGGTCAAAATGCATTTAAATTGAAAGTTTAGTATTTCCACAGAAAGCTCAACCACCATTTTATCCCTTTTTATGTGACATATATAAATACAGCTAACTTGTATATGAAAATTAAAAGACAAATTTAATCATATTAAATTATAATGTTGGTGTTAGATCCTTTATTTCTTGTAGTGTTAAAAATACAAGTAACACTAACATACCTTTTAAAAAGCTCAAGCCCCCTTTTCCTATTTTGCCCTATCTGATAAAACCCTAATAAAGCACTTCTGTGGATGGTTTCGTAGTTCTTTGGAGAAAACAGTAGTGCTAATGTATAGTTTAAATATCAGATGTGTTACTTTTCGAAAGATGTTTTAGTAAAAATGTCAAACATACAGCAAAAATAACTTAATTATAATATTGTTCAAGCCATCAGATAATAAAATTAATGAAAAAAGTTTAAATTTTAAGGCATAAAACTATGGTGGAACTACCACAAATTAGACTATACTGATCAGGCCACGTATATGAACACAGCTATAAAAAACAGCATGAAATATAATCGTTTCTAATCGATATTGGAATTTTTACATTTTTAAGACAACACAACAACTAAAACTGAAGACCATCTGAACAAAATTAGAAATATTGGTAGAAGCAATTGGTAATACTTTCAAAAATACTCTAAAGACTGGAAGAAACATCGTTATCAACGAAAGCATAGTTCTGTGGAGAAGGCGTTTTGATTTTCGCCAGTAAATTCCAGGCAAGCACCATACGCATGGTGTTAAACTAGATAAGTTGTCTTCCTGAAGGTTACACTTATAATACTGACATTTACGCAGGAAAGAATGCAACACAAATTGAAAAAACACAGTTGTATGATGTAGTAATGCGATTTGTAGATAGATTATTATTTGAGGGTCGCATATTATTTACAGATAGTTGTTACACAAGTGTCCTTTTGGTCGAAGAGCTTTTTTTTAAAAAAAATAAATTAAATATTGGTGGGATTGTCAAAATAAACAAAAAATGTCTACTGTCACAGGCAAAATAAAAATGGAGAGAGATTATGATTTTTGAGAGCTATAGCAGTGTCATATTTTGTAGATGGACTGACAAAAGACCACTTTCTATGTTAATGCAAAATAGGGTGTTGATTTGTATGACCAACTGACATCTTACTATAGTTATTTTCAGAAAATGATTAAATGGTATTGAAAAATTATAATACAATTAATATGCGAGACATGCTTAATAAATGCATAGTACAAAGATAAACAATACATACAGCATACATAAAGGAAGCATATTAATATTTTACAATTTAGGAAGCAAATTACTGATCAGCTACCAATGTTCACAGCATTGAATAAATGGATATTGAAAAACCAATATTTTCAAATAAAGTTTGACATTTTCTCAAACAGCATAAAGAGCCTGCAAGAAAAAGTTGTAAGGAATTAAGTTGTAAGGTTATATATAAACAAAAGTTAGTGACTATGCCACGAGGAAGGCAGAAAGGGTAAAGACTTGTTGCAATAGTTGTAAGGGCCAGCCAGCACTTTGAAATGTTTCAAAAAATTGCATAGAAAATATAAACAATAAGTTAGGTTTACAGTGAATTATTATGTTTTTACAATCAACTTTTTGTTCATTACGTTTTTAATATTATGTTCAGTTAAGTTTTTAATACTAAAATGTAATGTTTTTGGTACCTAATTTTTGTTAGTTACATTCATAATATTGCGTTTAGTTATACTCAAACTATTCATATAAAATAAAGTAACTCCTACCTTTTTTTTAAATTAATATACATTAAATTTCCAAATTTTCAACTATACGGCAATTTTACCCAGTTTAGTTTTACCCCCCTTTTTTTTCACCTATTTGATGGAAAATTTAGGTGTGAGCTACTAGTGGTATATACCGCCAGATGGAAAATTCATGTGTGAGCCACCAGTGGTATGTGCCACCTGATGGAACTTTCAAGTGTAAGCCATTGATGGTACATGCCACCCGATGAAAGATTCAAGTGTCAGCAACTGGTGGTACACACCAGCATGAACGTTTTAAACGGTGAAATTTTGTTTGAGAGGACAAATTCTGCTAAAATAGCATAGAATAACTTTGCTGTCAGAAGAAAACAAAAAAGTTTTTGTTTTTCTTGTTTTTTACATACATAAAGCTTCTGCTAAAATTATCGTATTTAATACCGAATTCCTGCTGTCAGAAGAAAACAGAAGAGTGTATTCTTTTATATATATATATACATAAAGCTTCTGCTAAAATTATCATACCTAATACTGAATTTTGCTTTTTAAATATAAAATGTTTGTTCCCACACTTTGTACAACTGGGTTGTTAAATTTCTTTGATTCTCATTCACTGCTAAAGATATGGAAAAATTAATTCAGATTCACAAAAACTTTACACTACAAATAATACAATTTTTATGTAAGTATGCACATAAGTAACAAAACAAGCTTTTATTGAAAGACTTTAAGTCATAACACTTTTTTTAGTAAATACAGATTTGAACATTCACTGTTTTAGTGAAACAATCAAATAATAAATATTGAGCAAATATGTTTCTGTATTCTTATAAATACTCTGATTTTTTTAAAATTAATGATAGAAAGCAATAAAATTAAAAGATTTCTAAAATAATAATAAATTTGTTTTATATAACATAAATAATACTAAAAACAAACGTAACATAATTTATTTTCTTAAAATTCTAATCATAAGTACAAAGGTATAAGTTGTAATCAACAGAATATGAGCTGAAGGTTATGGGACAGGCAATAATGCTGATTTCCAGGGAAGCAGTGTAAGACCTAGGAAAATGAATATGAACATGCAGCAAATAGAATCCATACACATTGATCACATGATCAAAATGGCAAATAACATACAGCAATCACTGCTGCCAAGAAACGATATGGGCTATCCAAAATAAGGTACAGTACAATATTTGACTGTTTTCCTGCTGTCAAAACCCAAATTAGAGCTGGGTGTTTATTCTTCAATTAGATCATTTCTCAGTTCTTATATGCAGTGATTGCTTGGATGGCGCACTGAGCTACTTTTATGCCATAATGCATGTCCTATTCTTTCTTTTCTTTACAGCTGTGATTGCATTCTAGACAACCAAAATTTTTATCTACCACACAGGTTTTCCATGATGGCCTTCAACCTCTTTTCAGTTGACTGCAACTTATAATAGGTAAGGTACAAAATAAAATCTCATTATAAAATAAAATTGTTCAGCAAGAATAAGAAAGGAAAATAAAACTACAACAAATAATTAAATAACTTTCAGTCATCAGATAATTCACAAATATGTATTAAATGAGCATCTCAGTTTGAAAAGAAAAAATACATGAGAAAATGGGAATGTTATACTTAAGCATCATATTTTCTCCTCTTCACCTACTAATAATGTTGTGTAATGATCACTTACAGTTAAAATTACATTAAAATATACTAATTACATCAGAGTTTATTTGATTTAAACTTATCATTTGAGACTTTCCATTTTAAAAATGCTTTATAATAGTTTTTATTTGATTCAATATTAGGAACAAAACAATCACTTGCTTTCTTTAAAGAGCTTAATTCATCTTGATTTTTCCAGACACCTACAAACAAAAAAATTTATTTATTTATTTATAAAGGTAAAATACAGCGAAGATAAACTACACTAGGTATTTTATCTCATCCTTATTACCCTGAGGAACTATTCATAAATTTAAAAGCTGGGAAAGTGCAAATTTATATAAAAATTACTTGTCATCTACTCATGATTTTTTGAAAACAAATGCAGGTATCATCACTTTGCCATTCTGAAAACTGCATTTAAAAATATTACCAAATTTGCATTGTTTTACAAGACTGTGCTGTATTTAGATTTATATGCAGGGGACATTTTAACATTTGGTGTTTGAAGCTCATTTACACTATACTGGATCAAACCAATCTAACAATACATATATACTTGGGTAGAACAAATAAATCTCATGAAATAAACATCATATTAACAAGACTAAAACAAACTAATATGCTCTGCTACTGATATGTAATTTCTTTGAGTATGGCATTTTAGATAGGATTTATGAAGATAACATGCAAAACATTTTGGTGGGACAGTCGTTTAGAGAAATTTCTCTGCTTTGTCACATGATATACAACAGCCTATCACCACATCACTTTAGGGTTACCGTGAGAAGGAGAAAATGGTTCTCCATTACAAATACAGATAACTAACAAAGAACACCTTCAAGTTATTTAATTTGATGCTGATTGGGCAAAAATGTGCAATCTACAAACAACTCCTTGTGGAAGGAAGGAAAAAATCCAGCATCTTTCTTTCAGTGATAAAGGCAGTAGAAAATTTGTTTGAAATAGTTACTCTTTCAAAACAGATAGATGTGTACAATATTTTAAGTGCTGTTTGTCTTTGAAAAAGTGGAACATCTTTAAGCACGGAACATGCTACTGCGATTGTTAGCATAATCAACAATTGTTGGAGTGGGGGAGAAAAATATAAACAAGTTTCCTTTCAGACACTTTGAGTGCTGGTATTTGAAATTTAGCAGAATGATCATTCAGTCCAGTTGCTTCACCCAATGACAGCAACCAATCTTTATATTTTTATATTTTGCCTAAAGAGTATAAAAGGCTTGTGTATAAGGAAACTCTTTGGTTGTATGCCTGTGCCAGTATAGAGCGGCATGTTAGCAATATTAATATTCATAATTCTCATCACTGACATTCTTTTGACTTCATTTTCTTTCAAGGTGCATTCAGAGTATCAGACTGCATAATTAATCTGTATAGTAGTGTGGTGTCTTACTGATGAAAGTTTGGTTTGTAACCTCATTATGTAACAGTATTTCAATGGGAGAAGAAAATTCTAATACTATCACATTGTCATAACCAGAAAAGAACTATCAAGGGAATAATAACTGTACAAACAAGACATCCAACAACAGTGTCGTATTACAGTGTTTACTGTAAACCATGTATATCAGTGTGTATCGTGTCAGGGTGCACTGCCTTCCTGATGAACAGTTGCCCTCCTCCCCATACAACAGATCATACACAGGCTGGTTGTAGCAGTATTATGTTTTGGGAGACGTTCTCATGGCCGGCTCTGGGACCCTTAATTTGTGGTAAAACAGACGATTAAAGCTACAGATTAGGTGAACATAACTGCGATACAGTTGTACCCTTACATGGCATCTGTCTTCCCAACTGGAAATGGAAACTTTCAGCATGACAACGCCCCACGTCACAAGGCTCTTACTGCATTAAGAGTGGTTTAAAGAGCATAAGAATGAATTCCAGTTAATGTCCTGACCACCTAACTCGCCAGATCTCAACCTGATAGAGAACATTTGGGATGTCATCAGTGGCAGCTCAGAGCTCAAACACCACCATGTCGGAATATCTTGACTTTGCGTGATCACTACTTAGATATTTGGTACGTGTGTCCAGTATTCTACAAAAATTTCTGGCATCCATGCCAAAGGCAAGTTTCAGCTGTACTGTAGGCCAAGCAATGAGCTATTCAGTAGGTGGTAATAATGTTTTGGCTCTTCAAAGTATATATATATACACTGGTTATCAAAAATTAAGGAAAAATCACAAAAATAGCGATAACTCCCTCAAAAATAAGCCAAACCGTGTAAAATATGAATATGTTGCCAAGTAAGAGTAGCTGAGTAAAACTGCAATATTAGTGGCGCTGCACCCAGAATATGTCATCTCCGAGGAGCATGGAAGTACATGTTTGAGAGCAAACCCACATATTTCATTGTGAGAGTGACATCAGAAATCTGAGATAGCAAATTCATAACAATGACCTCCAGGCATCATTTGCTTGCAGAACTACGATAGAGAGCTGTTGGGAGACTAGAAACAGTACAAAGTCAAACAGAAGCGGCCAGATGGCTAAATGTGAGTTCTTCTGTGGTTCATAGACTTTGGAGGCAATTTCAAACCAGAGATTTGGCATCTACGAGGTGCAGCCAAGGATGGTCAACTGCTACGACAAGCGCCGATGACCGATATTTGACATTATGTGCACGCAAGAATAGAACCGCTACTCCAACTCTTCTTAGGTGCTCCCTTGCTGCAGCCACCGGAAGGTGGGTGTCAACATCAACTGTGCGTAGAAGGCTTCACGAAGGTGGTCTGTATGGGAGGCGACCAGCCATTTGCGTGCCGCTTACGCCAAGCCATAGGAGGGACCGTTTGCAGTAACACGACAACATGTCCACTGGATGCCTGATCAGTGGAGGGCTGTTCTCTTTACGGATGAGTCAAGGTTTAGCTTCCAAAGCGATAGTACGATTGATTTGGTTTGGAGAGCACCTGGAACCTGTTGTCATCCGTCAAACATCTATGAAAGAGATGTATACAGAAAAGGCAGAGTCTGTGTTTGGGGTGGCATCTCTAAGTGGACGCACAGACCTCTATGTCTTTCCAAGGGGAACCGTGAATGCTCAGGTTTATAGAGATGACATACTTGATGCTTATGTGCACCCATATGCTGGGGCAATAGGTGATGTTTTACTATTACAGGACGACAACGCAAGACCACACAGGGCTCGCATCGTAGACGCTTATCTTCAACAGGAAACAATTATGCGCATGAAGTAGCCAGCTCAATCCCCGGACCTGAATCCTATCGAGCACGTTTGGGATGCTTTAGGGAAATGTCTAGCTGCTCTCAATCCGCCCCTCAGACCCTTGCTGCGCTTGCAACTACTTTGCAAGAGCATTGGCTCTCGGTTCCTAAGGAACTGATAGACCACATAATTGAAAGCATCACACATCGCTGTATGTGCTGCATTGCATCTAGAGGCGATCTTATTCCATATTGAAGGTACTTTTTCTATAGCAAACTGACCCCTTCAATTTGTTCATTTTATATATGTGCTAATTCCTATACTACCATAATTGTCTGGTAATTTCTTTTTATGTTATTTGATACCTTACTATGTGTTGTATATTGTGGGTAAGTTTCATAAAATTTTTCATGTAACTTTTCCAGTAATCGTGATTTTTCCTTAATTTATGATAACCACTGTATATATAATGCATGGTTGCAATTATTAATATTGTTGAGGAATTGCCTTGCTTTGATTCCAATTTAATTTTAACTAGATTATTTTACTTCAATCTTGGTTTAAAAATTTTGCTTTTAATTTTTAGCCTATTTATATTATATGTTTTGTATATATATATGCACACACACACACATGTATTATTAGAGAAAGTGCACCTCTCAAATTATGCCAGCAAAATGAAGGCTAACATTCTAGGCAACATTCTTATTGCTTAAATTCTTTCTTTCGCAGCATGCATTATTGGCACAAGTGCAAATATAAGGAGCTGCTAGCCATAAGTTCTCAATTCCAGTGGCTTCTAGAATTCTTCATGAAACATACTTTTAAAGAAAGAGAACAAAAAATAATGTACTACAAAAAACTTAAACGCAACTTCTCGTTTACATTATTCACCCTTCTTTTATTCCCCCTAAATTTATATAATTGATAGACTTAAAATTTCATTTATAAAACGTCTGTGAAACATATGAATCTTATGGAAGAAAATGCAGATTGCTCTAATTTTACAATTTACACATGGGAGAAATTTCAATAAAGATTAATGAAGGTATGCATTTTCCCTTGACATTTTTAGGACAATTTATTCTGAACAAAATTAAAATTTTGATAATTATTTATTCAAAGTACTCAATGGCAGTATTTTATATTCTGAATGTTTTTACGAGAGATATTATCTATTAATCAAATATAAATTTAAAGGAAAAAGCAAAAACTTAGAATAAAAATAAATGAAATTGCTTTTTCGTGAAAATTTTGTAATGCTTAATTTTTTACCTTTAATTAAAAATGGTATTCTTGAATAAATTTTCTTCCAAAATAAAACAACAGTCAATTAAAAATAATTATTATATTAATTAAAAACATAGTAATTACAGCGTGCATTAATGTAGGTACTTTTAACTTTGCATACCTGTTGTAAAACTATAAAAATCCACCTACAGTCAATAAAATTAGAACTAGTAGAAGTGTGGTTCCTATACTTGCTTTCATGTTTTCTCATTTGTGCACATTTGTGTACCCTACAGCACATCTGCATGGCATTTATAAATGTATGCTCTTATGTTATCAGGTAAAAATTTTGAATTTACAGTTTTTCGAAAAGTTTGTGGAGGGAGTTTTGAAATACCATGTACATTAATAAAAAAGTTACCTTTGATTAATGCTAATCTCAGAAAATGCATATGTATTTTTATACCTACCACAGTATAATCCTGCTAAGAATGCAGCACCAAGACTTGATGATTCACTGTGATTTAATCTGTGTATTGGTTTCCTTGTTAAATCTGATATCAACTGAACAATAAAGTCATTTTTTGAAACGCCACCACTTATTCTGCAAATCAATGGATATATTTAATTCAGTCTAAATATAAACATGCAATCTTCATAATATAAAATTACAATTTAATAACATGCATAACTAATAAAATTTTTTAAATATAAAGCAACTAACAAACATTATCACTACATAATTTTGAGGAATTCACAGCCAATTACTGCTATGGATTCCTAAAAGTTATTTTACCGTATTTAGTGCACATGCTGTTTCACAAATGGCAATAGTTTAAATTTTAAGGTTCAAACTTCAAGACAATTACACATAAAACAATTTCCCATAACAGCCTCTAATATTTTGAAAATAAAAATATTAGATAGAAATGTTTTGGTTTATAAAGTTACATAGCTGTATTTAATTATGTTGTAATTTCTTCCTTCTCACACAAGGTGCTAGCTATCTTATTTATATAACAGATGTAGCACAGCACCCAAAATATTGTACAAACATAAAAATCCAAACTGAAAGTAAACTATTTCAAGTAGTCCATATAATATGAGACACTTCATTTACTAGAAGAAAGGAAACCTCTTCAGGCATTTAAGTTCACGTGATGGAACTGTGACAAATGTTTTCAGAATTGTAGTAAATTTCACAGGAGAAACACATTCAATTAAAATATGCCGTATTTATGCAAATCTAATGCGCCATCGAATCTAATGCGCATCCCCATTTTAAAACTTAATAATAAAAAAATTGTTTGTCAGCGAATGTAATGTGCATCAATGGTATGAGGAATTTATTGAATCTTATTTTATACAACAATGGATTTGTATATAAACTATCAATCAATGGTATGATAATTTTATTTAAATTTAGATACCATATTTTATACAACAATGGATTTATATGTAAAGTAGCAGAACATAGAATTAACCTATTAGTGGGCTATTGTTATGTGAAACAATCATTGTTAATTACCACTACCATATGGTAATTAACAATGATTACCATACGGTAGGTATGGTAATCATTGTTACCATACCTACCGTATGGTAATCTATCATAAAATATGAACATGAAATAAATCGTAATATTTCTATCTAGCTAACAGTTTCTAGAATCAGTGATTAATAGCAAATGTCTTTATTCATTAATGTTTTCATCACTGGAATCCTCGCAGCTCTCTTCGTCAGAAGCAGATTCATTTCTTCTTTCCTCATCATCATCATCGTAATCCTCGGCGTTCCAGAGCACCTCATCTTCACTGCCATTCGATGAATTTGAAATGCAGCATTTCTTGAAAGATTTCATAATCATTGGTGCTTTGAGCTTTTCCAGGAAGCAGAAACCCAGTGTGCAAGTTAATTTCTTTCTACTAGATTTAGTTGCAAACGGTGCCAATTTCTGTTGCCGCCACAAGCGAACATTGCTCTCAGCTACGTAGAACTCTCTCCCTGCCTTTCTATTGCCATTTTTTTCAGCATAAAGAATTACTTTACATTTGAAAGTAACGTCATATGACATTCTTCTCTGTTTGCCCTCCATTTCTTGACTACGTACTCTGCAGTTTGTATCCTCTATGCAATAATGTGTCAATGATAAATGTAATGGTAAATGTAGTCGAGAAAGACAGTAATCCATTGTTATGATTTAAATTTGGTTGACGTCATCGGCAAACTTTGCACTCGAATCTAATGCGCACCCTAATTTTGAATACAACATTTGGCCAAAAACGATGCGCATTAAATTCGCGTAAATACGGTATTTAAATTAAAATATATTATTATTCAATTTAAATGTATTTAAATCTGTACAATGTGTTTCTCCTGTGATATAAATATGATTCAGCAAATGAAGACAGCTACGTAAAGAAAAATACTTTTTAAGCAGCTGTAATTAATTGCAAGCTTAAATAAGAAAGTACTCAGTACAGTAAATATTTTGTTAATAGAAGTCTCTTTTAAAAAATGTAAAACATTTTCTAAGAAAATATCACCTTTTTTCCTTCATGTGCTTAATATAGCAAAATAAAAAAATACAACAAAATTACTAACAATAGGTATAAGTGTCAGTATTTTAAACCCATTTCTTTGACATGTTTCTGACAGACTAATATTCATAAAGCATTTTTTTACTTTCTAATAAGCTTATAGCAAACTCAAAAAAATTATTATTCAACAAATTTCCAAATTTGTGTATATTTTTATACTTCTAGCCACTTCCAAGATTATCTTCATGCAAAGCTCGTTTAATATTAATACCACAACAATCTTGATATAATCAATGTTTATTCCAGAATGTACTCTGATATATCTGCAATACGTAACTTAATTGATTCTCAAGAGTACAGAATTTAGCCACAACAAATATGCATGATTATACCAAAGAAAAAGTCCACCATTTAGTTAGTTTAATCAATAAAAGACCAAGGTTTCTTAAGTTGAAAAAAAAAAAAAAAAAAAAAAAAAAAAGAAGTTTCTAGAGGTGCAACCAATGCCATGAACATTCATGTTAAGAAAACATATTTTAACTGTATATATAAACAAAATTAAGTATACACATCTTTACATACAAACTTTTAATTACACATTTCATCAACAATAAGTTATTACACAGTTACAACTATGCTTAAACAATAACATAACTTACCTAAATACTTTATTTTTTGTAAATAAGTTATCTTTCATCATATAGTCAAAAAGCAAACAAACTTGAAATGCTAATGCTTCCAGAACAGATCTGACCAACTGCTGCTTGGACGTCTGGATTTTTATGCCAACAAATGCTGACGATCTGGAATTTTCTTCTACAGCACACTAAAAAATATTAAAATTTATATGTAAATACAGAAATAAAAGTGAATTTCCACATGCTCTGGTAGCAAAATACCTTATACCTATTACATCCTTGTTCACAATATTTCCTCTTGTTAGGTAAAATTTCAACATACATTCAGACTAATTCAGAAGTCAAACAACAAAAATCAGCGTTATACCTACAAAATTTTCCGCAAAAAACCGCAAAAAAAAAAAAAAAACCGCAAATGATCATTTGCGGTTTTGCAGCTGAAGATGATGGTTCGGTAAAACCATCGAAACTAGTCCTGTGAAAATTTTGTAGGTATAACGCTGATTTTTGTTGTTTGACTTCTGAATTAGTATTTAATCGGCGTGTTATTGTGTCTTAAATACATTCAGACATTATGCAGCTGAAGCTTCATTAAGTACTTATTAAGTTTACTTACACATGAGATCTTCATCAAGTCATCCTCTATTACAAAAGTTGAATGCAATTATTAAATGAATGTTCATAGTAATAACACAAAAAGGGCAAGTAAATTCATCTATTATTTATTTGAATTGACAACAGTTCCTTTTAAATTATATACAATTAAAGTTAATTAAAAGACCACAAAAGTAGTGAGCAGTTTTTATTATTATTATTAGAAAGCTTCTCAAAGTGTAGTAATTATGTAGCCTGCTCTAAGTGTGATAATTATTTTTAGTAATCTAAAACTACAAAGCCATTTAATTTTACTAATGAAAAAAATGAGACATTTTAAAAGTGAACATATAAATCGTAAGAAGCACTATTCAGAATGCAAACTGGACATACACAAAAATAAACTATGATAGCAATTTCAGTAAAAACAGCCCCAAAGAAATTAAACAAATGAGTTAGTTTATCATTTACTGATGGGTGTGGTATTGGCTAACATTTTATTAACATAATTTGTTATGATGTTTTCTTACCAAATTTCTCTAGATAAGAACTAAAAGCGTATTATTAAGAAAATTATTACCTAAATTATCAGTTACAGAAATAGGCGCTCAACAGTAGTGAAAATAACATGATATAATTTTAATGAAAATGTGCTGAATATGGTTTTGACAAAAATACTTCTAACTTCAGTAGCATCAAACATGTTAACAATTCCACCATTTCCACAAATTATGCAGATCATTTCTACTATTTTCAGCGTTGAAGGAAATGAAAGATTTGAAGAAAAACAAAACTGAAGGCCAAAAGCAGCTTTATATTTTACAAGATTAAGAAGCCCCTTCCCTTTTGCTCAGTAATTTATAAAGCCAACAATATTTAGTTTTTAAATATAGATGGAAACTGCAAGTCATCAAAAGAAACAGAGTTGCTGAGAAAACAGATTGTTTAGATAATGGTAAAACACTTGAGGGCTATCTGCTTAACGAGAGAGATGCCTTCATGGAGAACTTATTAAGAAAACTAGCTCATATTCACATTACATATGGAGAAAACCACAGAAACTCGTATGCAGCCTCCCCATTGACTTGGGTTAAACTAGTACTCAGCGATTTTACAACTTGCCCACTTGTGGGAATTGTAAAAAGCAGATTTGTCAATCTAAGGAAACAGAACAAAAGTTCACTCACCATCACACCAACGCATAATTTACATCTTAATGTATTCTAAGTTCTACAAGTCACTAATACTTCTAAAAATAATGAATAAGTTTCAATTTACCTTGATTTGGGTTAAAATAACATGCAGAATAATGATTACTGCAGAAGTTAAACAACAATAATCAGCACAAAATTTGCAAATTTTGTACGGCTAGTTTCAATGGTTTAAATACAGAACCATCTTCTTGAGCTGCCTGAACAAATGAATGAGATAAAATATGGTTATAAGGCATGAAAAATTCTTATCCCAACACATTAAAAGGCCTCCTCTCACTTTAGAAGGTTACAAGAATTCTTCTGTCATTCCTTTCTTTCCATCGATTAGCTATAAAATTGCACATATTTTACAGAAATTGAACTTTTGGGTCATTTTCTTCTTCTATCAATAAAATTCCCAGTTTCATACATAAGGATCCCCCTTGCATATATGAATTCCTGGGGTATTCAGAGGCTTCCTTGCCAATGTGGTTTATTTCACATTGGTCAAACTAACAGAGCCTTAAAATTCCACATTAAGGAGCATGAGGTATATGTTAAGAAAAACGAAATACAGAAATTCTCTGTTGCCCAGCACTGTTGGTCAGAATATCACACTTTCCATTTTTCTGGAGCAAATATTCAAAAAACATCTTCCATTAGTGAATTACTTGTACATTTTTCTAGAGATATTCCACATTCAGAAAAATTTTCCTGTTCTAGTTAACGACACTAATTCAAATCCATTTTTACCCTCAGGCCTTTAAAGGAAATTATGTTTTAGTTTTTCTTGTTTCATCAATAGATGGCGCTAGTAGCTTGACATTTTTTCAGTCATTTTTATCACCATATTCTATTTTGTTCAGTTGCATTTAGGCAGCTGAAGAAGATGGTTCTGTATTCACACCATTGAAGCTAGTCCTAAAAAACTTACAAATATTATGCTGATTCTTGTTGATTAATTTCTCCAATAATTACCTTGGCATACCATAAGATGGTAATTTTTTTGCACATAATAGCTTCTGCTTTAAATGGATTTTGAACATACGAAGTTACATGCTATAACTAAAATTAAAGCACAGAACCCAGTGCCAGACTTAATACAGAAAGATTCTCTAGACAGTCACAATTTTGAATCTTCCTTATTATTTCCCAAAGCATTAAAAATTTTACCAACCAACAATTGTTACAAACAAATTTCATTACATAAAACTGAAGTTACTGTCATAATATGACACTTAACAAAATTAATTAAACGCTAATAAACAATATAATACAGTATTACTGAACACGAACTAGCATAATGTTAATTTAAATAAACCAACAAAACCTTACACAATTATTTTCTACAATGTTTTGGGCGAGGTTAATTTTTTAAAATATCTTGCAGATATCTGGATTACAATATGAGTTAAATGCCAAAAAGGAATATGGCACAGCAAAATAATACTCTATAAAGCAATGAAATGATATGAAAATTGCACAAAATTATGACACATTAGGCATACACAAAGATAAAGAAGATTTGATGTAATATCATATAAATCACAACTGCTTCAGCATATGATACTTCCCAAAGACATTTCAGATCAGAACTATGGCTATCTTTGTGACAAAATGCAGCTTTTTAGACAGTAATAACTTTCCTAAGACTACAATAATTATTTCAATTTATAGACTAAAATTTAATATATATGCACTAGAAAATAAATTTCTAAGAATATCTTGCACTATAACATGATACATACATGCAAAGAATTCAATGAAACTTACATCTGTCACATCAGGAAAAGGAAGAAAATAAACTCCACCACTATCTAAAATAAATATAATACACTGATATTAATAAAACAAGTAAGAATAATAACGCAAAACATTAACCAAGAACAAAAAATAAAATATACAGGGTGCTTCAATGGGTTTTACTAATCTGTTCTTTGAACAGTTAGTGAATAGGCAGAGTCTCCAAATTTTATGCGCTTCCACCACTGTCCAAAATAAGGGCACATCCTGAGTTTTCATATAGCTGAACACCAAATTTTTTTTTAAAGTATTTATAAATGTAAGTTGAAATAGCATGCATTTGAAAGTGGCCTACAATATCTGCATTTTAATATATATTTAAATAATGAAATGAACAAAATAAAAATTAAAAGTTCATTAGATTTAAGGTCTAAAATACTGATGCGGAAATTTTTTCTGATTACATTTACAAATAATTTATATCCTAGAGTCATAATTAAATTTTCCTTGATTTGATGCATTTTTCACAATAATTTATTTTCAGGTGTAATAAGTAGCTAAATTATGCTAATCAATTATAAATTCATCTAGCACCTGACAAAAGCTGTTCACTGTTACAGTTAATGTTGATACTGGCAAAATCAAGGACTCGGTCTTTTAAATTTCACTTATGTTACGAATATTGATGCTATTTTTATGTGCAAGTTTATTTTCAATCTTGACAGCAAAACAGAGAACATTTAACTCAAATAATTCGTGTTAGGTATATCTAACCCTTTAACTGTCAAGTTATTTTGATGATTTGGGTACACAAATTGTCAAATTTTTTTATTGCAAAAACCAAATGTTTAGTACAAAATAAAATATACTTAAGTAGTTAAAAATTGATATTTTGACGTACATGGGTAAAATTTTTAAAGTTTGTAGCCACTGCATTTTTCTTTGAGGCAGCTGTCACTCAACATGGCAGTTGCAAAGTTCGCTTCTAGTGGAGCATTATTTTCTAAAAATAAAAAAAAAAAATTAACTATTTTCTAAACATAAATAAATATAGTGAATACCTATTAGTAGTTCAGTAATTCAGTCTTATGTGGTACAACTGGAAACACTTTTCCAAGCACAAACCAACTCCACAATCACTACACCAGAATCGTGATTCCTTCCTTATCTTTTTCCCCCATTTTTATCCTTTTTCGAACAACACACTTTGCAACTGTCTTGTAGGCTCACGTTTCGCATGAATAGGAGGAAAATGATATAAAGTGTCGTTCAGTAAGACGGGCAGGGTTATCTATTGTAGGTGGTCTGCCAAGATTCTTTTGTTCCAGAAGCTGCATGATCATATTTATGTAAAAGCTCTTCTACAACTTGGATTCGAAATTCTAAAAATATAATACGTTTCTCCAACTACATTTTTATAGAGCAAATAATGAGTTCCAGAGTACCTTGTCTCTAATAAATGTAAAAATATCTTTTTATAATATTTTTTCTGATGTTTTCAGGATTGTTGGATGAAAGGATAGTTCCTTGATCACAGCGAATCTATCACCACCCTAGTTAGATTGTAGTCAGAAACAATCTTTGGCTTGAGTATATCTTCATTTTTAAAAAAAAATTTTTTTTTTAATTTTGAGGCTGATCCATGGAAGTATCATGAATACTGCTCATCAAACACCATCCTTCATCTTCAGTTGAAGAATCTAAATCATCTATATAACGTTTCAAAGAACTGGACGCTATTTTACAACAAAAAGATCCCATGCACCTTGAACCAAATAACCTCTAACCTTTGAAATCTTCATTAAAGTGCTGTCATCTATTGAACTGAGCACACATTAACTTTTCCCGAGATACAGTCAGGTTTGACAAAGAGATGAAGCCGAAATAAACGTCTCCCGATATATATTCGGGTATAACAATACGATGCACCCAAAAAAAAAAAATTACCCCGAGTGATACTCGGGCGTGACATTTTCGAACACTAGTGCTGTGCCCGAGATTATCTCGGGCATGACAGTTAAAAGGTTAATAAAATTTCGGATAAACTGAAATTAGAATAAAGAAATTTCCCTGCATTCATGAAAAGTTTGCAGATTCGCTTATTATTAGAATCAAACTTTTTGTTTATTTTCTTGGACATATTACAGTTTCACAATACAGATAACTGATTTCACATTTTTGGATAAACATTCTGTTTGGAAGTGGGGGAGGGGGAGTATTTCTTTTGTGTATTGACTTTTTGGGACTTAAAGCTGTGTTAAATTCCTTTGAAGCCAGATGGCGCTGCCATCGCTACTGTTTACAAAAGAATGTTAATTACTTTTGAGTTTGCTTCAATGACAAAGCAGAGAGTGAGTGTGGAAGCCTCAGTGTCTTTCACAAATTAGTAAAATAAAATAATGATATATTACAGATTAGTTTGTTAATTAGTTTAATTAAGAGTTACAGTCCATTTAGAGTTTGGCTGGACCATTTTGAGTGGTCCTGTAGAGACCAAGCAATATCGGCTAAGTAAATAATCTAGTGTAAAATTGTGATTTTGCCATTTTTGTTTCTATGGAATTTGTGTTTGTGGATTATAGCCAGTGTCTGAAAGAAAGGGATAAGTAAAAAAAAAACCCTTGAAACTCTATTCATTATTAACTGTTGCAATTAGTAAATTCTGAATTAAGTTTGTGTGATAATTAGTTATTATTGATAAGTGTAGCAAAAATGGCTACGAAATTAAAAGATGTTCTGACTAAAAAGAGAACTCAGAAAACTAGCTTATCGAAGTTGCAAAAGAAACTTTGTGAGCCAGATTTCATTGTTAGTGATTTAGAATTCTTAAACATTAAATTTAACAATTTCAAAGGGAATTTGATAATATTTTTGATTCCATTATTCATTTAAGTGGTGAAGAAAATATCGAAAAAATCTTCAGTGAGCAAGATGAAATCAATAGTAGTATTATTGATATAGGATTTGAAATAAATAATAAATTGTCAAACGTTGTTAAACAGAATAAAGTAGAAAACAGAGTCAAAAGTCGTTAATTCAGACACCCATAATCCGGAATGATCTATAATCCAGACCTCAAAGCTACAAAATTTCTGCGCATGTGTCGCGTTGACGCATGCACGTAAGACCTTTACGGCTGCGAATATGCGTGTGCGCATGCGCAAAATATGTTTACGAATGCGCGTTTAATGTATTACGGATGGTATAAGCTAAGCTAAAATTATCTAATTCAGTTAATGTTGATGATTGCGTTGTTCCTTAATCTTCGAATTGGATCCGGCTTATTATTTTTTGCAGACTGTTAGAGCAATTTTATAAAAGTAAGCTTGAACTTTCGATTATGTCAAATAGAATTTCTGATATATATTTACTAATATGTAAAGGATCTACAAAGCGAAAGTATGTTTCGAAGTCCATTAAACAAAAAGTGGAATTGCTGCAAAAAAATGGATAAAGGCATATCCTTTGTTTATCTAACCATTCCGAAATCTGTTTATCAATTTCACGCTGCTCTGCGTGTGGGAGGGGGCGATACGGCGCGGCGCGCAATGAACTGGAAGTTGATCTGTCAGCACTATCCTTATCTTCAGGGCAGATGTTTTTATTTTATTTGGCTTATAATTCCTTACTAAATTTAGTATTTCATCTCGATGTACTCCGTCTTTGATATGATTTAAATCAAATTCCTCGTCATTATAATTTGCTTCTGATAGCAAAGAAAGTGACTCAGAGGTTATTGAAAACGAAAAAATTTCGATTGGCAAATTAGTCGGTATTCTCGACACAGCAATTATAGGACTCGAACAGCGGAACTTCGTAACTGAACAAGAAATTATGTCTGTTTATAGAATTAAAGAGAAAGTATTATCACATAAAAAACGAAGCAACTTAACTTACATCGAAAGAAATGTTTAATAAAGTAAACAAATAAATATTAAGCTTTTTTTTTGTAAATTTTGATACCCTTTAGATCATAATTGCTCTTTATTTCATAAATTACGGTTTCATATTTTTAATTTTATAATTTCTGCATGCCATCTTACCAGATTTAAACTGATTATCTATAATCCGGAAAAATCGATAATCCGGAAGTCCCAACGAGTCCGGATTAACGACTTTTGACTGTACAGTAATTAAAGAAAATCTGTTGTGCGTTTACCTAAGATTTCATTACCAATATTTTCAGGAGAAATGCATTCTTGGCTTTCCTTTAAGGACATTTTTAAAGCGAGTATTGATCAAAACCCAAATTTATCAGATGCTGTAAAATTGCAGTATTTGAAATCAGCATTGAAAGGAAATGCCTTTAGAATAATCCAAACAATAGCTATAACAGAAAATAATTATAAGTTAGCATGGTCTCTCCTTGAAGAAAGATACTCAGATCTTAGAGAACAAGTGTATGCTCATCTTAAAAGATTTATGAGTATTCCCGTTATTCAAAACGAGTCAGCTTCTGCGATTCTAAATTTAACTGATATTACAAATGAAGTTGTAGGATCGTTAGAATATCAGAAGCTTTAAAAATTTGAAGGGAAACAAAGGAAATTATGCGTGGAGCTGGGATGAATCTACGCAAATGGGTGACGAATGATAATCATTTAGCTAAAAAATGGGAAGAAGAAAATTTTGACATTCATCCGCTAAGCTGAAATGAAAAGATACTCAAAGTATTAGAAATTCAATGGGATATTCAGGAAGATAGTTTGAGTATAGAGACTTCTTGTTTGACTGAAATTTCGAGAAGAAAGAAAAGTACCAAACGCTTCATCCTCCAAACAGATGGAAAAATATATGATCCTCTTGGACTCATCACACCATTCACTGTTAGAATAAAACTTTTACTACAAAAGGTATGGTTACATTAATTACCATGGGATGCTGAGCTTTTTTCTGATTTGAAAGACGAGTGGTGTCAGTGGAGCAGTGGGCTTTCAGAACTTAGTAACATTAGTGTTCTAAGATTTGTTTTGGATTCATGAGATGGAAATATTACCAAACAAATCACAGCAAGGATGCCCGAAACCATCACAGCTACCAAAACAATAATGAAAGAACAGCCATCAGCTCGACACTTGGTTCAAAACTTGACATCAGTCCAGCCACGTCAAGGTGATTAGCTCATCAATATATTAACATTTTTCTTTTATCAAATCATATTAAGACAAACTCTCGGGTCAGATGCAGCTGAAAATGACAGGATTCTGCCAATACCATGTACCATATGATTACACTAGTATATAACGATATAATTTCTTTCTGGTAAGGTCGGAACTTTTGGTCAGATTGACGATTTAGCTTAATATGATCTCATTTGGAGCAGCGAGAAGTCCGAAATGGTCACTGTGCAGCCTCTTCATCCACAAAAAAAGTCACTTTTCTTGGTGCAGCTTGATGCTTAAAACAAATAGTGCTTTGAGAGGAGAGGCACCAGATTATGAATTCAGAACATCCACATCCAGTTCTTGATAACAAGGTTCATTTCTGGTGCCTATTAAGAACACTAGATTCAAGACTGGTGTTTTCAGCGGAATAAAGTTCTGCCACATTCAACAGGCAATGTCCTGGATTTGCTCAGAAGTCACTATGAAAGTCGAGTTATCGCAAAATGGCTTCCCGAATCGCTTAGGAGAAATAATTTCCTTGTTTCCCTTCCCACACAGTCCCGACTTATCGCCACTCATCTTCTTTTTACGGATCTACATTAAAGTCTATAGAGATTGATCAAAAAACGACAGAAGAGTTTAAAATAGCGATATCAAGGCAAATCCCGGTCGGTGTCCTGGGTAGGACTTGTACCTAGACAGACTTGACTTTTGGGGTAAATAATCAATCTTCAGAGTGACTAGAACTATCGTTTATTTGGTGGTAGGTTCAGGTTCGGCAGGTACTGGTGTACTGTCTTGTTTGCCTTTTGGCTGTGGAGACGCTACATGGTTAGATTTCGAAGGTTGTCCTCGGGGGGGGGTTGGCTCTTCTAGGCCAACGATTGGGGACACTGCAATTTTGTGCCCCTGGGTTGAGTGGGGGGTTATGCCTCCCTGAATCACCTCTAGGGGTTCAGACATCATTAGTGTGTAGGACTTCTCTAAGCCTGAGGCTAGGAGACCCATCTCCCTGGTTTACTGTCCTACTACTTTACTGTGATACTGTAAGTATCAAAAGACTATTTAAAGCGGATTATTGAGTTCTTGGAGCTCACACTTCATTGCATAGTGCCCTTAGAAAGAAATAATTCTAAAGAAACTCCATAAGCATCCTCTTCTCCCTTCTTTACCGCATGCCTTCATTGTGTAATTGGAAAGCCTATCCGACTAGAAATCGAAGTCCAGAGTTCGAGGTTCCAGTTCTAGCAGAGACATTACACACTTTTCACTTCTCGTGCTCCAAAATAAAATGCCTAATAGTTTCTGCAATAATGACTGAACTAAAAGGTGGTGGATTATAATGCACAATCACCAGGAATTTACAACTCCGCCCTCCCCAGTGCGTAATGGCAAACCGCACATTGAGTTGATCAGTGTTAACGAATTTCGCTTAGTGTGCATGCTCAATGGTGTACCGTTGGTGTGGGACTAAGGGGGGGGAATAAACAACATTACACAAGTTAGTCATGCTGGTTTTTACAATTGCAATACTACGGAAATTTGTTGTGTGCTTATTGCATGTGCTTCTGTTTCATTTCATTTTAGTTTATTTTGTTCATAAACATTACATTTAATATCAGTTATTTGACTTTAATTCAGTACTTTAAACTAGTAGATTTATTCCTTAATTTGTGAAAGTATATACGAATGAAAAGTATTGTTAATATTCAATTGATTTCATTCCTCAGAAGTATAATCAATAAACATTCAGCTAATATATCTTGTAACATATCCTTTTTTGTAATACTTCTTAAATGAAAATTTGCATAGTTTACAATCGATATTTACACTCTAAGTAATGAAGCAATTTACAACCTAACAAATTTTAAAACCCCGAACTGTTTATGTGCAGATAATACAACATCAACCATATACTGTATTTATCTTCTTTTAAAATTGCACCAAATTCTACTCTGGGCATGCGCAGTAAGCGAAATTCGTTTAACATTGATCAACTTAATGTGCGGTTTCCCATTACGCATCCCCAGTCGCTCTTTAAATGCGGGAGAATGTACAGTTTTTCCCCTTTCCTTTACCACGTCCCTCTGTGGTGTAATTGGAAAGCATGTCCGGCTAGCTCTGGAAGGCCCTGAGTTTAAATCTCGGAAGGGCATTTCCCATTTCTTGCTTCAAACATAATTTCTAAAAATGAGTCTATAAGTGGCAACTGAACTAAAGCATGTTGGATGATCTCTGGTCACCAACATGGGTTCGGCGAATCAGTCTCCCTTTAATTAAGGGAAGGTCGGAAAGTTTTTCTCCCTCCTTATCGCATGCCTTCATGATGTAACTAGAAAGTACATCTGTCTAGCAAGCGGAAGGTCTCGAGTTCGGATTCCAGCAAGGTCAGTGCACATTTTTCACCGTTCCTGCTTTGAAAAACATAATGGCTTTACAACTCATCTTTTCATAGCCTTTATTCTTATGCATAAATTCTGAAATACTTTTTCCATTAAAAAATTATTTACTTGTTTTCACAGTCAAGACCTTTTGAAGCAACCTGTACAAACCTTTTAATAATATTAAGATTATTAACTACTTTAAATTTAAAAAAAATCCATGCAAAAAACTTATCAGATTTAATAAAAAATTAACAAGTACGTTAAAAATATAAAATCTATAACAAAATAAATACCTGTCACAGACTGTGCTATAATACTAGACTCGTGAGGCTCTTCAAATAAACCTGAAAATAAATAAATACCTCCTGCACACATTATATTCTAAAATACATTAAAAAATAAAATCTCAAAATAAAAGTTTTAAAATTTTACCAAGTTTTTGAGCCCATGAGATTATGGTTCCAGAATCATGAACTCCACATTCTGCAACATATGTAGTTCGTGAAAAAATTGTCCAACCAACAAGAGGGTAGACACCTTTTCGGAGAGAGAAACAAATGTGCAAACTCAAGAAATCCAATTCATACGGACTTCGAAAGTCAGTTATATGCAAATCAAGAACAGCAATTTGTATAAAAAGAAATATATATATATAAAAACAATTATTAAAACTACCCTACCATTATAAGCAGCAGATGGTGTATGGCCAGTATTCATATTTAGGAATGATCCAGTTCCCATAGTACAATTAATATCATACTTCTCGAAGCAACATGCACCAAACATAGATGCTTGTTGGTCTCCAACCTAAGTTATAAAATTAAAATACTTTGTTCCATTAAATTGTATTTTATTAAGTAATACATTAATAATAAAACAATACAGCTCTGATACAACCATTTTTAAAAGCTGCCTTTCATCCAGTTTTTATACTGTAAACCAACAAACACAAATAGCAAAATGTCACACTCGGGAATGTAAGAGGGTGTCCCTAAAATTCATATCTTGCGAATTTCACATTTGTTACTTTATAAAAAAACAGTGAAAATACTTTAACATAAAACTACGCAAGTAACAAAGTTAGTAATATAAATAAATTTTTCAAAGTTCCAAATAAATATTGGCAATTTTTTGAACAAGAGTTAAACACTTATTTTAATTGCAAATTAAATTATAACTACCTATCAATTACTAAGCAGACAAAATCCCAAAGTAGTTACTGTCATGAAACTGATTTTTGCTGGATGGCTCTCTGGAACAAAATTTTTTTGATTTGCCCCATCTCTAATGTAGACTCATCTTCAAAAAACCCCAAGAAGGGAAAACTCCCCAAGCAGTTAGCTTTTATATACTTTCTCACAATGAATTACCATTTCAAAAAATATTTTTTAATTAATTAATAATGCTTAATGGTCTGGCAGTATTAAAATTTTCAAGTCAAACCTATTTTTGTACTCGCTTATTACTTAATTTTTTGTCTGAAATCCCTCCCATAAGTTTATTAAAATTCTTGCTCAGGCCTGTCAAATATACGGTCTATAAGCCAAAGTCACCAGCAGATTCAACCCTTCCTGCCGTCTGTATGGCAAAATTTAAAAACGAGAATGATTCAGATTTAATATACAATTAACACATTACCAAACAAAGAGGTCAAAGAAAATGAATTTGGTAAAAAACTTAAAGCAGTCATAATAGCTTTATTTTCATCAGCCATTTTCATTTTTTTTTATAACTGAAGAACACATAATAGTTAGATGTCCAAATATTTCATACTGACGTTTAAGCAAAAAGATCAAGAAAAGTACACGACGGTCGTAAAAAAAAAAAAAAAAACTCCCAATCAATCAATCAATCAATACATGTATTGCCGGGCTATCGCTAATATGTGCGATGTTGCCGGCTCAATGACAAGTCTGCCCAAGAGGCGCATGACGTAACAGTCGGACAGAGTAAGAGGAGGTCTGAGGTGAAGAGAAGGGGGGCGGACTCAGGGATAAATAGAAGGGCTAGGTCACTCCTTTGTTCGACTCCTCGCCGACGCGAGCCTCATGGAGGGGGAGAACCGGAAGTAATCTGACGTGTCTCTGTTGCACCCATGAAGGTAGGAAAGGGAGGAGGGGCCATTCCGCGCTAGAAGTGAAGCACTGCTTTGAAGCTTGGGTCACCAGACTGGGTGTTCTTTGTTTACATTCAGAAGCTCGCTTGACAAGATTCTGATAGTATTTCGACACACGACAGTTCCATAGAAATCGAAAAAGGGACACTCTCGCATGAAAGAAACATTCATAGTGTGATGGATAATAGCAATTTGTATAGTTTACTGACATTTACGCAAAAATCACATCTTGGTTATTTTTCGATAACTAACAAACAGCGATTTTGATTATGAATTTGTTTTATAAAATTCTAAGCTGTTGCACTACAAAAATATGGATTTTAAGAAAATTGCTAAAAGAGATCTGCCAAAATTTATTTTCTAGAAGATTTGAAAAGTTTGAAACTTGATGGCTAAATGTAAATATAAAATTATGTATGTTAAAAATATTTGTAATTAAGGCACATAGGTCAGATTAAGTTTTTATTAATAGAGTAACGCATGCAAGGGCTATCTGCCTAAAGAGAGAGATGCCATCGTGGAGGAATTTTGAAGAAAAACTTACCTTTGAGTGGGTATTAAAAATAATACTTATAATTTTCATTCAAATTATATTCATATATATTTTTTATGTAAAACTTTCGGGTGTATGCTAAATTAGTGTAAATTACTTTACACGAAAAATATAGTGAATACACAGAAATTAAAGATTTGCACATGCCGGAAATGAAAAATAGGAAATATGTATGGGTATTTATGCATGTGCTTTCAAAAAGCATGTATCTGGCTTTGACAAAATACTTAAATATTCATTAAATTATTTATAAATGTATTTGAAATGAAGAATTTATTCACTTATAAACAACTGTGAAAGTACTGTGAAGAAATCTAATGATTAAATGTATCTAATTTATAATGATTATAAATGTTATCTAAATATATAATAACCTTAATATTGAATTGTAAACATAAATTGAAATCCTGTTGACAAATACGTTATAAAAACTATTTAAGCAAGAATTGTTCGTATTGGAAAGCAATCTGTTAAAAGGTATTGTAAAGCAAATGCTATGAGATGCGCACTTAAGAACGTAATAAAGAGTTTTGGAATATGTATTGTTGAAATGAAGGGTAAAAAAAAAATCTGATAAGTATAATTAAAAGAATTATTCCCTTTACATTTTATAATAACTCAGTTACAAGTTTTAAATAATTACTTAAAAAAAAAAACTTATTTATCCCTTTCAGAAATGTTCAGAGAAAGTCAAATACTATTAATACCTATTTAATTATTAGGAATTAGCGAAATACTTATTTAAAGTATTTCGCTAATTCCTAATAATTCTCTAATTTAAAATGAACCGAATAGAGCATTAATTATAAATTGACTTACATTTTTCGATTTAAAAGAAGCCAAAAAATCATGTCATATTTAAGAAAGTATTTTAGGAAGAAGCTCTATAAATAGAAAAGAAATAATGCATAATTTTAATATTAATAATACAATAAACTTTGATCTTAATTTTTGTACCTTAACCGAATAAAATCGAATTACCTTAATTTTTTTCCTAATGTAATTAACGAAAAAACTTGTGAAAATATTTCATTCAAATTAAACCATTCTGAGAAAAACTGTTCCTGTGAAAAGTTATAGCATTTAATTCCGTTCAGAATGAAAATGTGTTTAAAAAATATGTTGTTTTCACATACTTAGGACTCTGAAGTGTTGTAGAAAAAGAAAATATATACATTTATATGTATATTTGCCACGTAATTACAAAATATTTACACTCGAACGCGTCAAATCCCATAGAACTCAATGGTAAATGACCCAATGTTTTGGTCACCACGTAGGGATCGCCGGTGCTTCAGAGCAGGGTACGGAGAAACTTGTTTAGGGCGAATCCATCTTACTTCCTACCTCCATGGTTGCACCTGCTTTGATTTCGCGCCTTTAAAACTGTAGTTTCATTCAGTTGCGAGACGATTTTCTGGAGATCGCATATCCCAAATTTATTTTAATCATACATATTTGTTTTCTAATAATGCAAATATTTAAAATAATTTGTGTGTATATATATATAGTTTTAGTCAGTTTTCCTTTTAAATTCTATATTTAAAGTATCCTTTATGTAATATGGCTTCTTGTGCTGTAGCAACGTGCCGTAACACTTACAGAAATACGAAAGGAAGAGATATTGTATTTCATGCTTTCCCCAAGGACAATTTGCGTTTGACGAAAGAATGGATACATAAATGTCGAAGACAAGGATTCTATTAATGTGAAAAACGCAAGAATTTGCAGCGAACATTTTCTGTGCAGTGATTATGAAGATGACATGAGAAATCGCTTGCTTGGATTGCCGCAAAAGAAACTGTTGAAATGCAATGCTGTGCCGAAAGTAAATTTATCGTGTGCAGTAAACGAAATAACACCAAGAAATCGGAGACATTTGAAAAGAAAACTAATGCAGAGTGCTTTTGAAAGACTACACGAATTAAGCCCAAAGAAAATTTATTTTGAGGCCGAGAACGAAATTGAAGCTGACAATAATAAATCAAATGTGAATGATTTTGAAATAAAACTCACAAGTGACAATGCCCTATGTGACAATATCCCTGAGTGCCCTAAGTGTAAAGATAAACAAGAATGTATTGATAATTTGAAGAACAAAATAATATCCTTAGAAAATTGTAATAAAATATTGAAAAATAGAGAAAAGAAAAATTTTAGAATGTTTGCTCAGCGACAAAGAAGGTGGACGACATCTAGAAAGAAATTTGTATCGGAAATTCAGAAATTAAAATCCCAAACAGCGAAACTTTAGGGAAAAAAACAGAACAGATCGGAGAATTTGGAAAAACGTCTAAAGCATATTTTTACAAAGACGCAGATTAACGCATTGCTAGAAAATAAGGAAAAAATCAGGTGGACTAGTGAAGATATTTCACGTTGCATTGTCATAAGAGCTCTGTCATCTAAAAGCTACGATTTTTGGAAAGAAAAAAAGGGAATTCCTTTACCTAGCACTGGCACATTAAAGAGATGGTGCGCTAAATTTTCATGTAGTCCAGGAATTCAGAGCGATGTTCTTGCTGTAATAAAGGAAAGATGCCAATATTTGAATTCTGTAGGAAAAATATGCGTTCTCAGTTTCGACGAAATGCACATAGATTCTAAACTCTGCTATGACTCTATTTTTTGATTTTAACACTCCAATGACGACGAAAGAACTTCTTTTTTCACTCATAAGACATATTCAATCATCTGGAGTAGAAGTGAAGGCAATAGTGTCTGATTTAGGAGGATCTACTACTTAAGTGGAAAGAGTTACAGATTTCGATTAATAGTTCTCAGTTTCCAAATCCAGTATTCCAAACGAAAAAAATATGGGTTTTTGCAGATTTAGCGCACTGCCTCAAATTACTGAGAAACCACTTTTTAGATAAAGGATTTGTTTTAGAAGATGTAACTGTTTTAAATGTTGATATTATTAAAGAGGTTTTAAATAAAGATTCAGGAGAAATTAAATTGTGTCACAAACTAAAACCAAATTATTTAATGGTCAAGGGAAACGAGAGACAAAAAGTCGCTCCAGCGAAAACATTATTTTCAAGAACTACAGTAAAAGGTATACTCCACCTCACAGGAAATAAAAAAGCATCCGACTTCTTTGAGTTAATCGACAATTTTTTCGATATTATGAATAGT